GCTTTGGACTAATTACATTTTAAATACTGGTACTTATTACCAGGACTGGACTAATACGACTGAAAATTATGAAGGTGGTAGTGGTAACGACGATGGTGATGACGATAGGAGTGATGATCATGGTGGTGATGGTGAATATGATGGTGATAATGATGGCAGTGATGAGATAATGATGGTGGTGGTGGTGGTGATGGGGGTGATGGTGGCAGTGATAGTGAGGAGGAGGATGATGATGATGACGATGATGGTGAGTATGATGGCGAGGATTATAATCATGGTGATGATGGTGGTAATGATCGTGATGGTGAAGTTTTACGTGCACGATAGTGATCGCAACATGGTGGTCATGACGGTGATGATGGTTTGAAGGCGCTTTCTCCATCCTCTCTGTGTTGTCAAGACCACATTTCCCGTCGTTTCCCGTCACGGATAAAATCGTTGATGTCGATGTTGTTAATGATTATTTTAGTTATGTTAATGATGATGATGATGTTCATGATGAACACGCCCCCCCGCCCCCCTCTACACCCCCCCAGCCCCCACCCCCTGCTTGTTCACGTGACCACGGTCGCGACAATAAACACTCCCCCACGAAGCGTGGACACTTCGTGTGTGTGTGACACTTTGTGTGTGTGTGTGACACTTCGTATGTGTGTGACACTTTGTGTGTGTGTGACACTTCGTGTGTGTGACATTTTGTGTGTGTGTGACACTTTGTGTGTGTGACACTTCGTGTGTGTGTGACACTTGGTGTGTGTGTGACACTTCGTGTGTGTGTGTGACACTTCGTGTGTGTGTGTGACACTTCGTGTGTGTGACACTTCGTGTGTGTGTGACACTTCGTGTGTGTGTGTGTGTGACACTTCGTGTGTGTGTGTGTGTGACACTTCGTGTGTGTGTGTTTGGTGTAGCGGTGGTGTAGTGGTTAGCGCGCTGCGCTACGAATCCGGCCACCTGAGTTCGATTCCCGCTCACGGCCAACACCGGTGACGATTACCTGGACCAGTCCCGGGCCTCCCCTAGGTCGACTCAGTCTCAAATGAGTACCTGGTGCGGTGTGTAGACATCGCCACTGGGGAGACGAAGGCGGTCGGGCGTGGTGCTAGCCACCCACCCCCTCGTGTGCCGTGCCGGCCTTCATAGGTTCTCGCTGACAGCACTTCCCCCAACAGCCTGTTAAAGGCTCTACGGGATATATCTTTGTCTTGTCGCAAGCCTTCCACATTTCACGTGACGCCCTTAAAGTGCACCTAGCCTGGCACGAGCACTTATGGGGACAATCTCCCGTCCGCGGCTATCTTCAGTCGAGGGTGGTACGATGCACATTGACGCGATGCTCATCAATACCAGTGGTCATTTACGTGACCTGGACTTCCTTTAGGTCGACTCAGTTTGAAATGTGTCCTGTAACCCGATTCATGTATACCTCTGGTCAAATCTCCCCCTCAATCAATGTGACCTTAACAGGCGTTCGCTGTCAGAGCTTGCGTCAGCACAGTACTACTTTCAAGGTTATATTGGGGGGAATGTGTGTGTTTAAATGTTTGTTGTGCTCATTATACTGCAATGTGTACATGCACACAGCACAGCACATGCACACCCATGCGGCGGACAACGCCAGATCTCGGTCATTAGGGGCCGTCCATAAATGACGTCACGCATCTAAGGGGGGGGGGGCGGGGTCAGACATTTGTGACGATGTATGACGAGAGGGGGGGGGGGTTGAGAAATGTGACGTCACGTCAAAATGCGCAACTTTAAATAAATGTAGAGAACACAGTAATAGGTTTTACCCTTTTAACTGGCACAAAAAACTGACACCTTTATTCAAGGCTTCATGTCTGCAATAACCACAACACAAGCAGTCAAAATGCAAACAAAAATAATATGCACTGTCCTTGAATTTGATTGGTCCACACCCGAGACGGCTTTTCTTAGAGCCTAGTCTCCACTGGTGTTGGACCAGAAGACACCAAAAGGCGTACAACTCAAAAACAGCGTACTATCAGAGTATTGAGGGCTCGGGGTGAGCATTTACATTATGAGACCTCCTTTGCCAGTAACAAGATATAGGAATAGGTTTTACCCTTTTAACTTTTTTTGTGCCAGTTAAAAAGGTAAAACCTATTACTATATCTTGTTACTGGCAAAGGACGTCTCATAATGTAGACAACACGTTCTACTTAATGAAATAGACTTCCTGCAACATCAGAGTGCAGCGCCACATTAAATACGCACTACAATGACAATAGTTTAAAGCGATTTGAAGCATATTTTATATATACATTTGGGGGGGGGGGCAGAGCTTTGTGACGTCATATTTGAGGGGGGGTCTGACTTTTTGTGACGCCGTGTGACGAGGAGGGGGGGGGGTCAAAAATCGCGTGACGTCATTTTTGGACGGTCCCTTATACAATATGTGGGTGACCATCACCGTGCATGCATGGCAGGGTGTTGTAGGCTGCCTCGGGGCTTACGTGGGTGGCAGTAGGGTTACGATACACTTATACTTACGCGATGTAACCCAAAAACCTTTGTTTTGAGTAATATTGGTCGCGAAAGCCTACGTGTTTAAGTGGCAACAAGTTGGCTTTAGTGTTGAAGAGTCTGCAAAATTCGTGTACATTAGCAATTTGTGCTCGATTAGTTATTGCTTTGAGTGCCTTGCTAACCTTCTCTCGATTTTGCACTGCGATGGATTTGTTGGCTGTCGCTTGCTGACCCGCCCCGACTCAACATCCGTGAAGAAGAGAGCTTCATAGCTCATCGGATTCCTCTAGTCCACGTGAATATTCCGATTCTTCATCCGGCAGTGGATTAGATCATGGCTGATGGCGACGCTGATGATGATGTAGATCAAAATCAGAAAGTTCATTTCCCCCGGACTAATGCCCATTGAGTTGACTTAGCGCTTTCTCAAAGGCGATTCGGCCGGCAGCCCCATAGACGATGTTTACGAGACTCGGCAGTTCAGTACAACAGAGAGAATCGAACACGCAGGAGGCTTTCTCGACAGATATTATCCTTAGCAGAGGTTTCGTGGGTTAGAGCGCGTAAATATATAAGTTGTGTCGTTAAACCCGCCACCACCCGACACGTTAGTAATGTGTGTCACGTTTACGTTTACGTGACACACCTTACGTTTAAGTGACAAACGTTTACGTGACACACCTTACTAACTGTCTAAGTCGGGTGGTGGAGTAATTAACGACACATTTATATTTAGGGGCCGTCCATAAATGACGTCACGCGATTTTGGACAATTTTTTACCCCCCCCCCCTTCGTCACACGGCGTCACAAAAAGTCAGACCCCCCCCCCCTCAAATATGACGTCACAAAGCACTGCCCCTTCCCGCCTCCCCCCAAAAAAAATCAAACATGCTTCAAATCGCTTTAAACTATTGTCATTGTAGTGCGTATTTAATGTGCCGCTGCACTCTGATGTCGTCGGAGAAAACACTTATTAAAAATTCTAGATTTGAAGCTTTCGTGACTGCAAGGATCCATACTCTTTGGTTCTATTCGGTAAAGTCACGTAGGTAAAAAATAAAACAACAAAAATCACGACGTTTCGGCCACAACACAAGAGGCCTTCATCAGGTGAAGGGACCGTACTGTCACGCTGTCCACGCTGTCCTCGTGACAGTACGGTTCCTTCACCTGATGAAGGCCTCTTGTGTTGTGGCCGAAACATCGTGATTTTTGTTGTTTTATTTTTTTACCTACGTGACTTTACCGAATAGAACCAAAGAGTATTTATTTAAAAAGTCTATTTAATTAAGTAGAACGTGTTGTCTATTTATTTAAACTTTGCGCATTTTGATGTGACGTCACATTTCCCAACCCCCCCCCCCCTCGTCGTCACACATCGTCACAAATGTCTGACCCCCCCTCCCCCCCCCCCTAGGCGCGTGACGTCATTTATGGACGGCCCCTAAACTAAAACAATTCCCATCCTACCAAGCAAAGCCCACTGAGGTGTTAACTTATTTCTCAAAAGTGACCTGGCCACAAATGGATAGGTCAACAAAGTGGCCCCATCATTTGGACACTTAAAGGTAGCAGTAGGCGACGTTTGGGCCAATTGCCCTTCTTCGTAACATGTGAACAGAGAGACCAGGCAGATATAATTGGGTAATAGAGGCGTTTTTGGGGTTAGATCGCGTAAATGTATAAATGTGTCGTTAAAACCCGCCGCCACCCGACACAGCCAACTAGTAAAGGGTTGCCACGTGAACAGAACGTGGCCAATTCGTCACCAGTACAGCACTAGTTGTGTAGTGTATAGTGTAGTGTATAGTAGTGTATAGTGTAGTATATAGTAGTGTATAGTGTAGTGTATAGTAGTGCATAGTGTAGTGTATAGTAGTGTATAGTGTAGTGTATAGTAGTGTATAGTGTAGTGTATAGTAGTGTATAGTGTAGTATACTAGTACAGCACCACCGGTGTGTTGGAGAGCCAAGCCACAACTTTTACAATCTGAGTACGACGTTTCGCCGGTAATTACAACTAGTTTACACCGTGGCACCGAATTAGAATTAAACATATTATGTACCTGCTAAGCAATGGGTTAATTGTTAATATTAATAGTTACGACGGTAAGAGCTTTGGTTATGTAAAGTGAGGCGGGAAAAGTTGAGGAAGGGGCCAATTAAACGTCATTGGACTGGCTGAAATGATCAAGAGGGGAGGGGCTACGGTGGTGGGGGAGGGGCTACTGTGGTGTGGGGGGGGAGGGGCCACTGTGGTGGGGGAGGGGCTACTGTTGTGAGGGGGAGGAGCTACTGTGGTGGAGGAGGGGCTACTGTGGTGAGGGGGAGAAACTGCTGTGGTGGGGGGGCTACTATGAAGAGGGGCGTGGCTACTGTTGTGTGGGAGGGGCTGCTGCGGTTGGGGAGGGGCTACTGTGAAGAGGGGAGGGGATACTGTGGTAGGGGAGGGACTCCTGTGATGAGGGGAGGGGCTGCGGGGGGAGACGGGCGTCTGAGGGGCGGGGCTGAGGGTGACGCACAGCTGTTGTTGACGCATGCGCACTGCACGCCCCTCAAAGTTTTTCGGGGTCGCGCGCCAAGGAGTTGAGACCCCGGGACCCCCTCAACGAAATCCCCGAAACCCCCCCCGACGACTCTAAGGACTCAACTCGGCTCAACTCCTCCCTCGCCTCGGGCGAGAACAGCGGGACAAGGACCCGGCCACAGGAACATGGAATCGGGCGGCGGGGCCGCCGCGGAGAAGCGGTTTCGCGGTTTGGGGACCCCTATCCCGCTGGGGTCCCAGGGCCCGGGGAGCGTCAACACTCGGATCCCCCCTCCCGCGTCGGGGACCCCTGCACCTATGGGGTCACGGACACCGGGGGCTTTGACCGCTCGGGGCAGCCTCGTCGCAAAGACCCCGCTGGGGTCCCAGGGCCCCGGCGGCGGCGGCGGCGGCGGAGGGGCCTCCCCCGCAGGGACCCCGCGGGGTCGGCGGACCCCCTCGGGCCGCGTGCCACCGCGGCCCGCGGACCTCAAGTTCCAGCTGATCCTCATCGGGAACCGCGGCGTGGGCAAGACGAGCCTCATGGAGAGGTTCACGGACGACGCCTACAGCGACGCGTGCAAGTCCACAGTGGGTGCGTGATCGCGAGACCGGGTGGGGGGGGGTATGTGGGAAATGAGGGGGGCAGAGACACACAGGGTGGGCGAGGTGCATGGGAGCCGGAGGAGACGTGGATTTATTGGGGGGGGGGGACGACATGGGGAGACGCCAGGAGAGACACGTGGGCATGAGGACATGGAGTTTAGAGACACAAGGAGACACTAGGCAGAGGGAGACACGGGGGGTGGGGGGCATAGACGGATACGCACGTGCAGAGGGGGGCATAGAGGGAATTGCGAATGTATGGGCATGGGGAGACACGGGAGGCATAGAGGGCATGGGGAGACATGGGGGGGGGGGGGAGACAGAGGAGACAGCGGGACAGGGGGAGTAGAGGGAGACGCCGATGCACATAAGAGACGGGGACATGAGGAGAGAGACGGAAGGCACGCAGGGACCAGTAGGGACATGGGAGACATCAGGAGGCTTGTGGACATGCATGGAGACGTTGAGTTGAGGACACGAGCAGACAGGGATTCGAGAGATGCAGGACACATAGCGGGACGGGGACAGATGGAGACAGAGGGAAGAGACGGTGGGACACGGTGGGACACGGTTACAGGGGAACGTGGGGATGCAGGGGTAAGAGGAGACACCCAGGAGCCTTGGGGACATGGGCGTGTGGAGGACACGCGGGGTGGTGCCGCTCGGGTGCAGGGAGACGTGGAGAGGACAGGAGGGGATGTGGGGAACACGGAGACAAGACAGAGGGACATCGGGGCACAATGTTAGACAACGGGGACAGGGTGGCATGGGGTTGCGGGCAAAGACAAAGCTCCCCCGTATAGCCTTTGCATATACTGTTGGGCAAGTGCTGTTGGCGAGCACTTATAAGAGGCCGGTTCGTCGCACTACCACGCCCGGCCTCCTTTGTCTTTCCCTTTCTAATGATGACACCGTATTCGGTACGGAGGTCTAGGACCGGTTCGTACGACGCTCGCCACTGATGTTATCCGCGCGGTGCGATAACCACTGCGCCACCACTCCATCCTACTCACACCACGCACAAATAGTCAACAACAGCGGCCATTCGTCACGTACACACCCACGACAGCCCTTGTGCCAGGCTCGGTGCACTTTGAGTTGGAAGAGTGAGGATCACCGGTCGCGCATCCGCCAGTAATTTTGAATCGGCTAATCCATAGCACCCGGGTCTGCCCCTTTGACCTTCCACACTTCACGCGATAGCCGCAAAGTGCAACTAGCCTGGCACATCAGTTAACTTATGACACCCGGGTCTGTCCCGTAACCTCCAGTTAGCACCAACACGTAAACTATCGCATCTATTCACACTCTGAAAACACACACTCTGGCCAGACTCTAAATATACCATGGAATCACAACACGCACAACCAACAACACAAACACAAGACGAACATTAGGACCACACAACCAACAACACAAACACAAGACGAACATTAGGACCACACTACCAACAACACAAACACAACACTAACATTGGGACCACACAACCAACAACACAACAAACAACACAAACATAAGACTAACATTAGGAGCACACTACAAACAACACAAACACAACACTAACATTGGGACCACACAACCAGCAACACAACCAACAACACAAACATAAGACTAACTAACATTAGGACCACACTACCAACAACACAAACACAACACTAACATTGGGACCACACAACCAACAACACAAACACAAGACTGACATGAGGACCACACTACCAACAACACAAACACAAGACTAACATGAGAACCAAACAACCAACACCACAAACACAACACTAACATTGGGACCACACAACCAACACCACAAACACAAGACTAACATTAGGACCACAACCAACAACACTAACATTGGAACCACACAGCGAACAACACTAACACTGGGACCACAACCAACAGAACTAATATTGGGAACACACAGCCAAACACAAACATAACACCTAACATTGGGACCACACGGCCAACAACACAACACTAACATAGGGACCACAATAACCAACAATACAAAGACAACACAAGACTAGGAGCACACAGAGCCGTAGTGTTAACACAAGACGCATTAACAAGACATAGGTCAACACAGGACCTGTCTATCCGTGCAACATCACGGCCGTAAACCTTGAGCAGAAGTGAAAAGAGAGAACTTTAACACGTGGTATTTTACTGTCGCTCACTACCAATGGATATCAAAATCAGAATCTGTATTTATACTGGAAGAATCCGATGAGCTATAAAGCTCTTTTCACAGATGTCCAAGTGGGGGCGGGTCAGAAAGTTCCAACAACAAACAATACGAAAACACGATAGGAGTGCAAAGTGTAGAAAAGGTAAGAAAATTAAAATTTTTGTTTTATTTTAAGATGTATAGCCCACTGAGCTATGAGCTTCTTTTCAGAAGCGACCTTGCCACAAATTATAGCTCAAAAAAGTGGCTTATGTGGAAATGTATAGCAGCCAAATGATATAAACAGTATACAAAACCTGTTCTGGGCCACCCCTTGGTCGACTCAGCCTCAAATACGTTCCTGGCGCTGTGTGTAAAAGCATAATAACTGAAGAGACAAAGGCGGCCGTGAGTGGTTTCAGGTCACACCACACCACCAACTCGTGCGCTTTTCCGGGTTTGATTGGTGTTGACTAATGGCACTTTCCCCAACACTCTATGTAGGCTATACAGGGGATCTTTGTCTATGTACACTTGAGTGTGCATTATGTTCATATACATGGGGGCAGGGGTAACCTTTGTTATTGGTAAAAGATAAGCAGAACTGTGTACTCTTCCGTATTTCCACATGAGAGTAATAATATTTATGGTCCACCAGGCTAAATTGGCTTTCCAGACCAATAATATCAAGCAGGCTATTTTTTCTAACCATGCATCTCGCTGGCCGCCTGCGTCTTTATTCCGTTAGTTACTGCTGAGGTGTGAACGAACGATCCGCACCATCGCACGCACGTGTTGTGCACGTTTAAGGCTGAGTCGACCTAGAGTATGCACGCAGATTTGCTCTCCCCCCCCCCACATCCTCCCTCCTCCCAAGCGCCGCTATTCGGGGAATAGGGTTAAATATAGACGAGAATACTTGCCTCTTGGTGCACTGGGAGAGAGACCGGGGTAGAGGAGGGGGGGGGGACCTCCAAGACGGAGATGGAATATCTCGTAAAGAAGAGGGAAATCTTTATTTAAACTGAACGAGAAGGAATCCGATGAGCTATGAAGCTCTTCCCCCTCCCCCCCAAACATGTCCAGAAAGTTATATCAACAAGCAATGCAACAACCAAAACCGGTAGAAATGCAAGATAGAGAAAAAGTAAACAAGTCGCTAATAATAAATAATATTTTTAAAAGTACAGAAATTAAACTTGCACAACTACATACATTTTGATTTAAAGCTTTCGTGACTGCAGGGATTCATATTCACGTAGAAGGGAAACAATAAAATAATAAAAATATATTGTTTTATATTTTTATTGTTTTATATTTTTATTGTTTTATGTTTTTATTATTTTATTGTTTCCCTTCGACGTGACTTTACCGAAATAACCAAGAATATAACTACATACATTCATAAAAGAGAATATAAGAGATTAGCAGAAGGAATTAATCAACCAAAGTTCCTGGTTTGGGACTAATTCAGCCACCGGGACTTTCCAGTGATTGCAGAAGGTCCAAAAGTTTTGGCGAAAATCCGAAATTTGGCCCCGGGTTTAAAATGTTTTGGCCTAGGCCAAAAGTGGGGGTGTGAGGCGGGGCTACCTGGGGTAGGGGCGGGGCTACATGAACAGGGGGCAGGAGCTACCTGGGTAAGGGGTGGGGCCAACTTTAGAAGCAGCGAATCCACTCGCTGTGTGCGGTGCTAGCGGTTGAGTGGGCGTGGCTATGTAAAAGTAGGCGGTGCTACCCACTGACCCATGTGGCCCAGTTGAGCCTCTCGGAAAAAGATCTGCTCTCCCATAGCCAAATCACCCCTGAATGCGCCCGATCTTGTCAGCTGTCGGAAGCTAAGCAAACTTGAGCCTGGATAGTGCTCTGATTGGCGACCACACGTGCACAGCAGAAACGTGCGTTTAAAGTATTTGGCTACTATAAATTTACACATGACGGCAAGCCACTTTCGTTGAGCTATCATTTGTGGCCAGGTCGCTTCTGAAAAAGCTTTATAGCTCAATGGGCCTTACCTGGTAAAATAAAAATTGTTTAAAGATAACAGGTTGTTATAGGTGGCTACAGGGTTTTAGCTAAACTATAAAACGATAAACTACAGTATTTTTCATTTTACCATGGTGAGCTTTACAGCTTTTTTTCTGAAGCGACCTGGCCAGCAATGATAGCTCAACGAAAGCGGCTAATGTGGAAATTTATGGCAGCCAAATACTCTTAAACGCGTGCTTATGAATGTGGACGGAAAAACGGAAGGGCTCGGAGGGAGACAAATCCACGTGACCTCGAGGAGCGAGAACACGCGAACTCTAAATACTATATGCAGGCGTCAGGATGGGATTTGAACCTACGACCTGTATAGCAGGCGAGGTAGTTAATATAATTCGCCAGCATGGTGCGCAGCACGTGAAGTATGGTCAAATATTGATTGGAAGCTTTCGTGACTGCAGGAATCCATACTCTTTGGTTCTTTCTCGATATGACGGACGCTTGTGTTGCGACAAAAAAAAACGTCGTGATTTATTTTATTTTATACCCACGTGACTTTACCGAAAGAACCAAAGAATATGGTCCAGTAACCTCCACGACCCGCACGGCATGGGGAGGGCCCTCATCCAGCAGTGTGTTGACACAATAACACAACTACGGCTGTAAGAGAGAGGGGGCACATGCACAGAAGCACCCATACGGAGGAGGGAAAGCAGGAGAAGGTGGGTGCGAAACATCAGCACTGGGGAGACAAAGGCGGCCGCGCGTGGTTCTAGCCACACCCACCTCGTGTGTCGTGCCGGCCTTCATAGGTGCTCGCTAACATCACTTGCCCCAGCAGTCTGTTAAAGGCTATACGGGGGATCTTTGCCTTTGTTCGTGGGTGTGTGTGTGTGTGTGAGCTAATAATGTGTGTTGGTGAGTGTGTTTGGAGCGGTGGTGTAGCGGTTAGGGCGCTGCTTTACAAACCCTGCGACTTGAATTCGATCGCCGCTCACGGCCAACACCGGTGACGATTGTCTGAACCGGTCCTGGGCCTCCTCTCGGTCGACTCAGCCTCAAATGAGTACCTGGTGCGGTGTGTAAACATCGCCACTGGAGAGACAAAGGCGGTCGGGCGCGATGCTTGCCCACCCACCCCATTGTGTGCCGTGCCGGCCTTCATAGGTGCTCGCTAACAGCACTTGCCCCAACAGTCTATCAAAGGGTAAACACGGCGGATCTTTGTTAACGAGGAGTGTGTGTATGAGCTAATGTTTGTTGGTTGGAGTGAACGCATGGGTGTGTGCGTGTCATGGCCAATAACACGCGCCTGTGATTAACATGACACTCTGCCGCAAGCTGTGGCTGTTACGTGATACTAACACACGCCTGTACACAATCACACACACACATACACACGTGCCTCACTCAATACACATGCTGTACACAATGATCCTCCCCTTGTAGCGGTTAGCATTCCGTTAGGGCAAGTTAGCGCCTATGAAGGCCGGCAATGGACTGTACACGAGGGGTTGGTTTGCCAGCACATGCCTGGCCGCCTTTGTCTCCCTCGTGGCAATGTTTACGGATCACACCCGGTACACGCCGACTTAGGGGAGGCCCAGGACCGGTTCACCATGAGCAGGGATAAAAGACAGATCGCTTGGTTCCTAGAGCAGTGCGCTAACCATTACGTTATGCCTGTATACATGGACGTGCCCGAATGTGTACACATGCACGTTTCTAATCGCACGCACGCCTGTATACACACACACAGATGCGAGCCTCTAAGTACACATGCTTATGCACATTAACTGCTGTGTAAAGACAAATGCCCCCCCCCCCCATGTAGCCTCAATAGGCTGTTGGGGCAAGTGCTGTTAGCAAGCACCTATGAAGGCCGGCACGTCACACGAAGGGGGTGGGTGGGCCAGCAGCACCACGACCGGCCCGCCTTTGTCTCCCCAATGTTGACACACCGCAATAGGTGTACTCGTTTGCGGCTGAGTGGACCTAGGGGAGGCCCAAGACCGGTTCACTGGTATTGGCCGTGAGCGCAACGCTCTAAGCTCTGCGCCACCGCTCCCCACCACTTGTACACATGCGTACTTGACCTTAACATACGTAATTCTGTCGTACAGTTTCCACACACACACACAGACCTGTGCGCTCACGGTCTGCAGCCGTGTGTATGTATGTTGAACTTCTTTCGCACCGTACGTAGCCAGCTGTGATAATCGGAGGTGCGAGGAAAGGACAACAAATTAGAAGCATAAAAAATGTGTGTGTGTGTGTACACCCTGTGACACAGGACTGTCCGGTGGGCGGTGATGCCAGCATCAGCAATATATCTTCTGTGTGTGTGTCTCTCTTTCTCCCTCTCAGGCGTTGATTTTAAAATCAAGACCATCGAGCTGGGCGGAAAGAAAATTCGATTGCAGATCTGGTGAGCCTTGAACACGCACACAGGGACGAAGAGAAAGTTCCCCTATATAGCCTCTGCAGGCCGTCGGGGTAACTCCTGATAACGAGCACCTATTAAAGCTGATACAGTCCACGAGGGGAGCTGATGTTTACACACCACACCAGGTTCTCATTTTATAAGGCTGAGGTGACCTTGAAGAGGCCCAGGATTGGTTGCGATATTTGTCACCGCTATTGGTCGGGTTCGTAATGCAGTGCGCTAACCAATGCGCCACCGCTCCTCTCGAACGCACACACACACACATGCACGCGTACACTATGCGCGTTTAGCAAGAGCCGCCATTCACCACTAAGTGGCCGTGATGTTACAGCAGTGCTTGTGGTGCCAGGATAGATGCATGTTGAAACCACATGAAGTATGCCAGGGTGGCTGGCAGGAGTTCACGGGACAGACCCAGATGCCATGGGTTGACTGACTGAGATGACTGGCAGATGCAAATGATGTGCTCCTCACTGTGCAAACTTGCTGCATTTTATACACCTGTTGCTCCGCTCGTTGTTGTGAGCATCGCTCCTCTGCTCTCTGTTGTTGCTGGAGGCCAACTGCCTCCGACTGCCCAGTAGCGTCCTTCACGAGCCTCCTCCACAGACGCCGATCTTGACACCGCTGTTACTTGTCATCAGGGAGTCTGCTGAGCTCCAGCTTCTCGCTCATCGACCTCTGTAGGCCATTCCAAGCTCGTTCAGCCTTCACTATCCAGCCAAACAGCAGCTGTTTGGACATGCGGGATACATGGCCCAGTGAACAATTCCATCGCTTATGGAAATGTGTCGCTATCTTTCAAGGATATGTGAGCTCCTCACATAACCCAGCTTCAATGAACTCAGGATTGATCATCCTTAAGTTTGCCGAGTGGTGGTGGTGCATGTGGCCTGTAATCCAGCACTGTGGAAGCGGCGAGGGTCGGCGGATCGCAGAAACGTCATGAAACTCCAATCTCGTGGGAGTCGAGGAGGAGTCATACCCTGGCTCGCCAGGAGAAGGTGGTTCAGCAAATATGGAGTCAGACTGTTCCATCTATACGGGGATAGAGCGTTGCCCCCTTGCACGTGTGGGTTTTCTCCAGGTGCTCTGGTTTCCTCCAACATGTAAACGCTCAAATTTTGATTCAAAGCTTTCGTGACTGCAGGGATTCATATTCTTGGTTCTTTCGGTAAAGTCACGTAGAAGGGAAACAATAAAATAATAAAAATATAAAACAATAAAATTCTCACGACGTTTCGACTCCAATAAAAGCAATCATCATCAGGTGTGATGATCATCATCAGGTGTGATCATCATCAGGTGTGATGATGATTGCTTGTGTTGAAGTCGAAACGTCGTGAGAATTTTATTGTTTTATATTTTTATTATTTTATTGTTTCCGTTCTACTTGACTTTACCGAAAGAACCAAGAATATGTAAACGCTCATTTTTTGTCCGTTAAGACTTTCATACATAGAGGATTGCAGAGCTTGGGGAGGGGAATTCTTTCACTGGCTGACCGTGTGGGAGAGTTGCCTTCTGTGCTTGCTTTTGGTTCCTCCTTGTATCGAGAGCAAGCAGACACCGTGCGGCAGCGGAGCGTTACAAGTTGAAATAATTATTATTGTTATTATCATCATAGGCAGGACAGGGTGGATCAAAATCTAGCTATTCAACTCACGATGGACCATAGGCAGGCCCACTGTTGTTAGCATCAAGACGAAGGCTTAAGTGTTGACGTTCGTTCGTCAGGGCGCCTGGACTATCTTCTTTGGTTCTTTCGCTAAAGTCACGTAGAATGAGAATAAAATAATAAAATAACACAATAAAATTCTCCCGACGTTTCGGCCACAACGCAAGCGGCGCCGACGCCCCCGGCACAGAATCGGTTGCCCGGCTGCAGGGTAACCCAACGCCGGTGGCCTCGCGAGGTTGACCCTGCCGAGTTTGTGCCCCTGCTCAGGGACACGGCCGGGCAGGAGCGCTTCAACAGCATCACGTCGGCCTACTACCGGGGGGCACGCGGCATCCTGCTCGTGTACGACCTCACGCGCAGAGACTCCTTCCTCGACCTGCACAAGTGGATGAGCATGGTGGACAAGGTGGGCAGGTGGCCTTGGGAGGGCGGAGATGGGATGATGAGGTTGCATGTGAGATGGGATGATGAGGTTGCATGTGAGATGGGATTATGGATGGCTTAGTGGACGGTGATATATGAGGTGGTGGTTGATGCCAGGGTGCTGGGTGTATGATGAGGCTGAGATGAAGTGGAAGAGAGAAATGACGTAAATATGGTTGGTTTGGGGTTGAAGAAATGGTTGGTTGAGAGAGTTGGGTGGGTAATGTCGTGGTTGGATGAGATGAGGGGTGGATGAGATGGACGTGAAAGACACAGATGGTGAGTGTGTAGCATATGTGGTGCACTGTGTGTGTGTGTACAGTACATGTGGTGTACTCTATATGGTATGTGCAGTGTGCGTACTTTGTTTTGTGGACTGTGTATGACGGTATATGTGGTGCATAGAATGTGTGTGTGTGTGTACGTTGAATGTGTGTACAGTGAAACCTTGGATTGCGAGCATAATTCGTTCCGGAAACGTGCTCGTAATCCAAAGCACTCGTATATCAAAGCGAATTTCCCCCATAAGAAATAATGGAAACTCAGATGACTCGTTCCACGACCCAAAAATACTGTATTCATTTAAAAATGATTAATACAAACTACCTTTTATGTTTTTTATTATTTAAATTTAATATAAAGTAATCCAATTTATTAATTGCATTTTATCGTGGCTGGTGTGAGGGAGACGAGAGAGAGGAGGAGGGTTATTGTGTAGGACGACTTTCACTTGCAGTACAGTTACTAAAGAACAGTCACTACACTTGGACACAAAATGAAAAAACTGCTTTACGCACACACACGTGGTCACAACACTATAGTACTATAGTAAACAGTATATACGTGGTCACAACACTATAGTACTATAGTAAACAGTATATACGTGGTCACAACACTATAGTACTGTAGTAAACAGTATACGCTTGCACGGATGTTGACTATACGAGTGAGGCACGCCGACTAAGACCGAGCATGGGAGATGATTACCCACAATCCCGCAGCGAGAGAGAGAGAAGAACCATTGGCTCAGTGACGCTCGGCAGACAAAGCGTATACAGTGAGGGAAAAAAGTATTTGATCCCCTGCTGATTTTGTACGATTGCCCACTGACAAATAAATGATCAGTCTTTAATTTGAATGGTAGGTTTATTTGAACAGTGAGAGACAGAATAACAACAACAAAATCCAGAAAAACGCATGTCAAAAATGTTATAAATTGATTTGTATTTTAATGAGGGAAATAAGTATTTGACCCCTCTGCAAAACATGACTTAGTATTTGGTGGCAAAACCCTTGTTGGCAATCACAAAGGTCAGACGTTTCTTGTAGTTGGCCACCAGGTTTGCACACATCTCAGGAGGGATTTTGTCCCATTCCTCTTTGCAGATCTTATCCAAGTCATTAAGGTTTCGAGGCTGACGTTTGGCAACTCAAACCTTCAGCTCCCTCCACAGATTTTCTATGGGATTAAGGTCTGGAGACTGGCTAGGCCACTCCAGGACCTTAAAGTGCTTCTTCTTGAGCCACTTGGCCATGTGTTTTGGGTCATTGTCATGCTGGAATACCCATCCACGACCCATTTTCAATGCCCTGGCTGAGGGAAGCAGGTTCTCACCCAAGATTTGACGGTACATGCCCCGTCCATTGTCCCTTTGATGCGGTGAAGTTGTCCTGTCCCCTTAGCAGAAAAACACCTCCAAAGCATATGTTTCCACCTCCATGTTTGACGGTAGGGATGGTGTTCTTGGGGTCATAGGCAGCATTCCTCCTCCTCCTCCAAACCCGGCGAGTTGAGTTGATGCCAAAGAGCTCCATTTTGGTCTCATCTGACCACAACACTTTCACCCAGTTGTCCTCTGAATCATTCAGATGTTCATTGGCAAACTTCAGACGGGCATGTATATGTGCTTTCTTGAGCAGAGGGACCTTGCGGGCGCTGCAGGATTTCAGTCCTTCACGGCGTAGTGTGTTACCAATTGTTTACTTGGTGACTATGGTCCCAGCTGCCTTGAGATTATTGACAAGATCCTCCCGTGTAGTTCTGGGCTGATTCCTCACCGTTCTCATGATCATTGCAACTCTACTAGGTGAGATCTTGCATGGAGCCCCAGGCCGAGGGAGATTGACAGTTCTTTTGTGTTTCTTCCATTTGCGAATAATTGCACCAACTGTTGTCACCTTCTCACCAAGCTGCTGGGCAATGGTCTTGTAGCCCGTTCCAGCCTTGTGTAGGTCTACAATCTTGTCCCTGACATCCTTGGAGAGCTCTTTGGTCTTGGACATGGTGGAGAGTTTGGAATCTGATTGATTCTGTGGACAAGTGTCTTTTATACAGGTAACAAGCTGAGATTAGGAGCACTCCCTTTAAGAGTGTGCTCCTAATCTCAGCTCGTTACCTGTATAAAAGACACCTGGGAGCCAGAAATCTTTCTGATTGAGAGGGGGTCAAATACTTATTTCCCTCATTAAAATTAAAATCAATTTATAACATTTTTGACATGCGTTTTTCTGGATGTTGTTGTTGTTGTTGTTATTCTGTCTCTCACTGTTCAAATAAACCTACCATTAAAATTATAGACTGATAATTTCTTTGTCAGTGGGCAAACGTACAAAATCAGCAGGGGATCAAATACTTTTTTCCCTCACTGTACTGTATACGTACTGCTCGTATTGCAAGACATCGCTCGTTTATAAAAATTATTATTTATTTACAATTTTTGCTCGTCTTGCAAAACACTCGCAGACCAAGTTACTCGCAATCCAAGGTTTCACTGTATTTGTGGTATGAGTGGGCAGCAATAGTTTGCGTGCTGCATTATGAACCGGTGACGCAAGTTGGATTCCTGGCCAACACCAGTGACGATTATCTGAATCGGTCCTGGGCCACCCCTAGGTCGACTCAGCCTCAAATGAGCATCTGGTGCAATGTGTGGACATCGCCACTAGGGAGAAAAAGGCGTTCGGCTGTGGTATTGCCCAACCACCCCCTCATGTGCCATGCCGGACCTTCATAGGTGCTCGCTAACAGCACTTGCCCCAACAGTCTGTTCAGGTTACATGGCGGATATTTGTCTTTGAGTGCGGTATATGTGTATAATATGTGTGTTTATCGTGTATGTGTTATATCTGTGTGTGTGTATGGTATATGTATGTCTGCATAGTTTATGTGTGGGGGTGTTTGGTAGGTGTGGTACGAGTGTGATATGTGTGTGCGGTGTATGTGGTATGTGTGGTTTGAGTGGTGCAGTATATTGGTGTGTATATGGTATGAGTGTAGAGTACGGTGGTGAGTGCGGCGTGTGTGCGGTGTGCTCAGTACGCCTCCGAGGACGTGGATTTGCTGCTCGTTGGGAATAAACTCGACCGGGAAGCGGAGAGGGAGGTCACGCGGGAGGAGGGGCTGAAGGTGAAGTCACACGCCCCAGGCCGCATACCCAGCACCATACTTCACCACGTAATCCTATACGTCATCACATACCCCCCCCCCCCATACGTCATCACGTACTTCATCATCACGTACCCCGTACACCATCACGTGCCGTCATAAATCATCATAATGTGTCATCATACATTATCATGTGCCATCTTACATCGCATGCCACCATACATCATGTGCCACCAAACAGTATCGTCATAACGTAGCACCATACGACATCACGTACCATCATTCATCATCACATGCCTCATCGCCGCATACTCCCATACCATCATCATCATCACCACATACCATCAAACATCATCACGTACCACCATGGACCACCATACATCATCATCACGCACCACCATAAACATACATCACCGTGTACCGTCAGGCATCGTCACATGCTATGGACGTGGGAGCACAGAAGTACGGCACTGCCCTCTGGTGTCCTCCACAGTGTCAACGTCAATCCGTGCACCACCACGCTACACCACCACTCTATATCACCGTGAACACGTGTGTCATGTTGCAATTGTGGTTTACCGTGGTTGGTGTGTACCGTTTACCCTGGTTTACCCTGGTTGGTGTGTATCATTTACCCTGGTTGGTGTGTATTGTTTACCCTGGTTGGTGTGTATTGTTTACCCTGGTTGGTGTGTATTGTTTACCCTGGTTGGTGTGTATTGTTTACCCTGGTTGGTGTGTATTGTTTACCCTGGTTGGTGTGTATTGTTTACCCTGGTTGGTGTGTATCGCTTACCCTGGTTGGTGTGTACCGTTTACCCTGGTTGGTGTGTATCGTTTACCCTGGTTGGTGTGTATTGTTTACCCTGGTTGGTGTGTATTGTTTACCCTGGTTTACCCTGGTTGGTGTGTATCGCTTACCCTGGTTGGTGTGTATTGTTTACCCTGGTTGGTGTGTATTGTTTACCATGGTTGGTGTGTATCGTTTACCCTGGTTTACCCTGGTTGGTGTGTATCGCTTACCCTGGTTGGTGTGTATCGCTTACCCTGGTTGGTGTGTATCGTTTACCCTGGTTTACCCTGGTTGGTGTGTATCGCTTACCCTGGTTGGTGTGTATTGTTTACCATGATTGGTGTGTACCATTTACCCGAGTTTACCGTGGTTGGTGTGTATCATTTACCCTGGTTGGTGTGTATCATTTACCCTGGTTGGTGTGTATCGTTTACCCTGGTTGGTGTGTATCGTTTACCCTGGTTGGTGTGTATTGTTTACCCTGGTTGGTGTGTATCATTTACCCTGGTTGGTGTGTATCATTTACCCTGGTTGGTGTGTATAATTTACCCTGGTTGGTGTGTACCGCTTACCCTGGTTGGTGTGTATTGTTTACCCTGGTTGGTGTGTATTGTTTACCCTGGTTGGTGTGTATTGTTTACCCTGGTTGGTGTGTATTGTTTACCCTGGTTGGTGTGTACCGTTTACCCTGGTTTACCATGGTTGGTGTGTATTGTTTACCCTGGTTGGTGTGTACCGTTTACCCTGGTTGGTGTGTATCATTTACCCTGGTTGGTGTGTGCCGTTTACCCTGGTTGGTGTGTATCATTTACCCTGGTTGGTGTGTATTGTTTACCCTGGTTGGTGTGTATCGCTTACCCTGGTTGGTGTGTACCGTTTACCCTGGTTTACCCTGGTTGGTGTGTACCGTTTACCCTGGTTGGTGTGTGCCGTTTACCCTGGTTGGTGTGTATCATTTACCCTGGTTGGTGTGTATTGTTTACCCTGGTTGGTGTGTATCGCTTACCCTGGTTGGTGTGTACCGTTTACCCTGGTTTACCCTGGTTGGTGTGTACCGTTTACCCTGGTTGGTGTGTGCCGTTTACCCTGGTTGGTGTGTATCATTTACCCTGGTTGGTGTGTATTGTTTACCCTGGTTGGTGTGTATCGCTTACCCTGGTTGGTGTGTACCGTTTACCCTGGTTTACCCTGGTTGGTGTGTACCGTTTACCCTGGTTTACCCTGGTTGGTGTGTACCGTTTACCCTGGTTGGTGTGTATCATTTACCCTGGTTGGTGTGTACCGTTTACCCTGGTTGGTGTGTGCCGTTTACCCTGGTTGGTGTGTATCATTTACCCTGGTTGGTGTGTATTGTTTACCCTGGTTGGTGTGTATCATTTACCCTGGTTGGTGTGTATCATTTACCCTGGTTGGTGTGTACCGTTTACCCCGGTTGGTGTGTATTGTTTACCCTGGTTGGTGTGTATTGTTTACCCTGGTTGGTGTGTATTCTTTACCCTGGTTGGTGTGTATTGTTTACCCTGGTTGGTGTGTATTGTTTACCCTGGTTGGTGTGTATCGTTTACCCTGGTTGGTGTGTATTGTTTACCGTGGTTGGTGTATATTGTTTACCCTGGTTGGTGTGTATTGTTTACCGTGGTTGGTGTGTATTGTTTACCCTGGTTGGTGTGTATTGTTTACCCTGGTTGGTGTGTATTGTTTACCCTGGTTGGTGTGTATTGTTTACCCTGGTTGGTGTGTGCCGTTTACCCTGGTTGGTGTGTATCATTTACCCTGGTTGGTGTGTATTGTTTACCCTGGTTGGTGTGTATCGCTTACCCTGGTTGGTGTGTACCGTTTACCCTGGTTGGTGTGTATCATTTACCCTGGTTGGTGTGTATCATTTACCCTGGTTGGTGTGTACCGTTTACCCTGGTTTACCCTGGTTGGTGTGTACCGTTTACCCTGGTTGGTGTGTGCCGTTTACCCTGGTTGGGTGTGTATCATTTACCCTGGTTGGTGTGTATTGTTTACCTGGTTGGTGTGTATCGCTTACCCTGGTTGGTGTGTACCGTTTACCCTGGTTTACCCTGGTTGGTGTGTACCGTTTACCCTGGTTGGTGTGTGCCGTTTACCCTGGTTGGTGTGTATCATTTACCCTGGTTGGTGTGTATCATTTACCCTGGTTGGTGTGTATTGTTTACCCTGGTTGGTGTGTATCATTTACCCTGGTTGGTGTGTATCATTTACCCTGGTTGGTGTGTACCGTTTACCCCGGTTGGTGTGTATTGTTTACCCTGGTTGGTGTGTATTGTTTACCCTGGTTGGTGTGTATTGTTTACCCTGGTTGGTGTGTATTGTTTACCCTGGTTGGTGTGTATCGTTTACCCTGGTTGGTGTGTATTGTTTACCGTGGTTGGTGTATATTGTTTACCCTGGTTGGTGTGTATTGTTTACCGTGGTTGGTGTGTATTGTTTACCCTGGGTTGGTGTGTATTGTTTACCCTGGTTGGTGTGTATTGTTACCCTGGTTGGTGTGTATTGTTTACCCTGGTTGGTGTGTGCCGTTTACCCCTGGTTGGTGTGTATCATTTACCCTGGTTGGTGTGTAGTGTTTACCCTGGTTGGTGTGTAATCGCTTACCCTGGTTGGTGTGTACCGTTTACCCTGGTTTACCCTGGTTGGTGTGTACCGTTTACCCTGGTTTACCCTGGTTGGTGTGTACCGTTTACCCTGGTTGGTGTGTATCATTTACCCTGGTTGGTGTGTACCGTTTACCCTGGTTGGTGTGTGCCGTTTACCCTGGTTGGTGTATATTGTTTACCCTGGTTGTTGTGTATCATTTACCCTGGTTGGTGTGTATTGTTTACCCTGGTTGGTGTGTATCATTTACCCTGGTTGGTGTGTATCATTTACCCTGGTTGGTGTGTACCATTTACCCCGGTTGGTGTGTATTGTTTACCCTGGTTGGTGTGTATTGTTTACCCTGGTTGGTGTGTATTGTTTACCCTGGTTGGTGTGTATTGTTTACCCTGGTTGGTGTGTACCATTTACCCCGGTTGGTGTGTATTGTTTACCCTGGTTGGTGTGTATTGTTTACCCTGGTTGGCGTATATTGTTTACCCTGGTTGGTGTGTATTGTTTACCCTGGTTGGTGTGTATTGTTTACCCTGGTTGGTGTGTATCGTTTACCCTGGTTGGTGTGTATTGTTTACCGTGGTTGGTGTATATTGTTTACCCTGGTTGGTGTGTATTGTTTACCGTGGTTGGTGTGTATTGTTTACCCTGGTTGGTGTGTATTGTTTACCCTGGTTGGTGTGTACCGCTTACCCTGGTTGGTGTGTATTGTTTACTCTGGTTGGTGTGTATCATTTACCCTGGTTGGTGTGTATTGTTTACCCTGGTTGGTGTGTATTGTTTACCCTGGTTGGTGTGTATTGTTTACCCTGGTTGGTGTGTATTGTTTACCCTGGTTGGTGTGGTATTGTTTACCATGGTTGGTGTGTATTGTTTACCCTGGTTGGTGTGTATTGTTTACCCTGGTTGGTGTGTATCGTTTACCCTGGTTGGTGTGTATCGTTTACCCTGGTTGGTGTGTATTGTTTACCCTGGTTGGTGTGTATTGTTTACCCTGGTTGGTGTGTATTGTTTACCATGGTTGGTGTGTATTGTTTACCCTGGTTGCTGTGTATTGTTTACCCTGGTTGGTGTGTATTGTTTACCCTGGTTGCTGTGTATCGTTTACCGTGGTTGGTGTGTATTGTTTATCCTGGTTGGTGTGTATTGTTTACCATGGTTGGTGTGTATTGTTTACCCTGGTTGGTGTGTATTGTTTACCCTGGTTGGTGTGTATTGTTTACCATGGTTGGTGTGTATTGTTTACCCTGGTTGGTGTGTATTGTTTACCCTGGTTGGTGTGTATTGTTTACCCTGGTTGGTGTGTACCGCTTACCCTGGTTGGTGTGTATTGTTTACCCTGGTTGGTGTGTATTGTTTACCCTGGTTGGTGTGTATTGTTTACCGTGGTTGGTGTGTATTGTTTACCCTGGTTGGTGTGTATTGTTTACCCTGGTTGGTGTGTATTGTTTGCCCTGGTTGGTGTGTACCGCTTACCCTGGTTGGTGTGTATCATTTACCCTGGTTGGTGTGTATCATTTACCCTGGTTGGTGTGTATTGTTTACCCTGGTTGGTGTGTATTGTTTACCCTGGTTGGTGTGTATTGTTTACCCTGGTTGGTGTGTATTGTTTACCCTGGTTGGTGTGTATTGTTTACCCTGGTTGGTGTGTATCGTTTACCCCTGGTTGGTGTGTATTGTTTACCGTGGTTGGTGTATATTGTTTACCCTGGTTGGTGTGTATTGTTTACCGTGGTTGGGGTGTATTGTTTACCCTGGTTGGTGTGTATTGTTTACCCTGGTTGGTGTGTATTGTTTACCCTGGTTGGTGTGTATTGTTTACCCTGGTTGGTGTGTACCGCTTACCCTGGTTGGTGTGTATTGTTTACTCTGGTTGGTGTGTATCATTTACCCTGGTTGGTGTGTATTGTTTACCCTGGTTGGTGTGTATTGTTTACCCTGGGTTGGTGTGTATTGTTTACCATGGTTGGGTGTATTGTTTTACCCTGGTTGGTGTGTATTGTTTACCCTGGTTGGTGTGTATTGTTTACCCTGGTTGGTGTGTATCGTTTACCCTGGTTGGTGTGTATTGTTTACCCTGGTTGGTGTGTATTGTTTACCCTGGTTGGTGTGTATTGTTTACCATGGTTGGTGTGTATTGTTTACCCTGGTTGCTGTGTATTGTTTACCCTGGTTGGTGTGTATTGTTTACCCTGGTTGCTGTGTATCGTTTTACCGGTGTTGGTGTGTATTGTTTACCCTGGTTGGTGTGTATTGTTTACCATGGGTTGGTGTGTATTGTTTACCCTGGTTGGTGTGTATTGTTTACCCTGGTTGGTGTGTATTGTTTACCATGGTTGGTGTGTATTGTTTACCCTGGTTGGTGTGTATTGTTTACCCTGGTTGGTGTGTATTGTTTACCCTGGTTGGTGTGTATTGTTTACCCTGGTTGGTGTGTATTGTTTACCCTGGTTGGTGTGTATTGTTTACCCTGGTTGGTGTGTATTGTTTACCCTGGTTGATGTGTATTGTTTGCCATGGTTGGTGTGTATTGTTTACCCTGGTTGGTGTGTATTGTTTACCCTGGTTGGTGTGTATTGTTTGCCCTGGTTGGTGTGTACCGCTTACCCTGGTTGGTGTGTATCATTTACCCTGGTTGGTGTGTATCATTTACCCTGGTTGGTGTGTATTGTTTACCCTGGTTGGTGTGTATTGTTTACCCTGGTTGGTGTGTATTGTTTACCCTGGTTGGTGTGTATTGTTTACCCTGGTTGGTGTGTATTGTTTACCATGGTTGGTGTGTATTGTTTACCCTGGTTGGTGTGTATTGTTTACCCTGGTTGGTGTGTACCGCTTACCCTGGTTGGTGTATATCATTTACCCTGGTTGGTGTGTACCGTTTACCCTGGTTGGTGTGTATAATTTACCCTGGTTGGTGTGTATTGTTTACCCTGGTTGGTGTGTATCGTTTACCCTGGTTGGTGTGTATTGTTTACTCTGGTTGGTGTGTATCATTTACCCTGGTTGGTGTATACCGTTTACCCTGGTTGGTGTGTATCATTTACCCTGGTTGGTGTGTATTGTTTACCCTGGTTGGTGTGTATCGTTTACCCTGGTTGGTGTGTATTGTTTACTCTGGTTGGTGTGTATTGTTTACCCTGGTTGGTGTGTACCCTTTACCCGAGTTTACCGTGGTTGGTGTGTATCGTTTCCCACGCTGTGTTCAGTTTGCACAGCGGTTTAGCGGCATGCGGTTCTGCGAGGCGAGCGCGCGCGAAAACCGGAACGTGGAGGACATCTTCCTGCGTCTCGTGGAGGACATCGTGCGCAGGGTGAGGCACGGTGACGCACGCGGTGACCGTGTTAGCAGCGTTGAGGCGCCACACCGAATTACACAGTCACTTCGGAACACAACTGTGTTGATACTAACAGTGTTCACAAGGCAAGACGGGACACTTCCTTACACGGCAGCAGTGGTAACTGTGTTTAACAGAGGCGGCATGGTACCGTCATGTTCATGGCCTTAGCGTGGTAGCAGTGATCACTTAATAAAGTGCGTCGTGACGGTGCCGTGGTAACCGCGTTAACAGTGCTGGGCGGCGTGTTAACCCGCGTGGGGCGTGTGGTTGCCCCACAGATGCCCATGGAGCCGCTGTCTCGCGACCTCATGACAGGGGTCCTCGCCCTCCCCTCGGAGCCCCCCGCGCCCGAGCCCCCCACCCGCAGGTGCTGCTAGCGGAGGAGTGGACCGGGGAGCAGAGGGGAGAGGGGAACAGAGGAGGTGAGGGGAGTGGGCGGGGGGGGGGGAGGTTGAGATGTGAGCGTGAGTGGGACCAGGTCAGATGGGGTCAGGTCAGGTCAGGTGAAGTTGCATGTGGTCAATTCAGATTGGGAGAAGTCCAAAAGGGAGCAGCTGTGGCCAGGTCAGTTACGGTATTCACGAGTCGGGTCAGATCGGATCAAGGTCAGGTCAGGATTATCTTAACCAGGCCAGGAGTTGGCAACCAAAATAACAAGAATAGCCATGCGAGTAAGTTACGGGATGGCGGTCTTTAATAAATAACGTCATGAAGCGGCCGTCGAAGCACCGCATGGGGCTCTGGAGCCACACCTTGCCGACCCCTGAAGCAGCCCGATTGGTCTTCCCTCCTCACCTCCCTCCTCACCTCCTCCATCACGAGTCCGCGCTACCTCCGAGACGCTTGGACGACACAAAGGCACCCGCCCAGCGTGGCCACCTCGTACGAACCCCGCTCTTCAGTGCGCTCAAGGAGTGCGGGCGAGCGAGCGTCGTCTGGCGAGAGGAGTGTTGTCGCTTGACAAGCATAAGGACGGTCAGGAGCCATTGTGTGGCGGGGGAGGTTTGTACGTTAACGAGTGTTGTGTGATCATGGGGATTTGTGTCTGAGTGCGGTCCGTAACGAGTGTTGCCATTTCAAGCGTTGTCCGGTGAGGAGCGTTGTCGGCAAGTGCTGTAGGCGGCGAGTATTAATTTGTCAGTGTTAGGAACTCATTTTGGGTGTTGCCTGTTACGGAGTGTTGTCCGAGTGTTGCTTGGTCAAGAGAGTGTCACGACAGGGAGTGTTTTGTTGTCCCTCATCGTTGCCTACTTCTGACCATGGTCAGAGTGCGGTCACCTCGTAGGGGAGTGTTGCTTGCTAGGGAGTGTTGTCTGTTACCGAGTGTCGCTTGCTAAGGAGTGTGATGCGCGAATGTTGTCTGCCAAGGAATAGTATCTCTTGCATCGTTGGATGGGTGACGTCCCAAGCAACGAACCGATTGTAATCTTGTAGATGACGTTTATTTGTTTAGCCGTGTTTAAAACTCACGAGACCAGGATGAATATAATTGACAGCGTCCCGCCCTGTGCGGTGACCTGGGCTGTCTGACGCGGTCCACGTGGCAATGACAGCACCGGCGCCGATGTTACCAAGGTGCGACGACGACGCGCTCGCTCGTAAACCGCGAGTCTGATTGGCCGTTAGCCGAGCTTCCTTCGCAAACTCGGTGCGTTGGAGAGCCCAGGGCACGCAGCCTCGAGTGGGTAGCAAGTAAATTCCATTGAGCATTCTGTGTCTGCAGGCAGGTCTAGAGAGACAGTTCTCTCCAACACATTGCTCTGTCCTGCTTTGCTGTCTTCATTTGTCCGTACGTCCCTGTTGAATATTTTCTCACATTGCCGTTCTCTTCCTTCCTCTTGGTCTCTTTTCCCAAAGAATCTTCCCTGCGTCACCTCCATCGGCAAAGCTGTGTCGCTACTAGGCCCGTGTTTTAGCCTCTTGGCTACGGATTTAAACTATCCAATTAAACTAAACCTCCACGCAGTTAAACTAAGCCACTTTGTGCACCGATATGGTAAAATTAAGATGCATTTACTGCGGTTTACCATGGCCGGTTCAGTTTACCGTGGTTCGCCGTGGTTGGTTTACCGTGGTGGGTTCCGTTTGCCCGTGGTTTCGCGAGTGTGTGCGGTGTCGTGAACTCCCAGGGGTCATGCAAACCCATAACTGCTACGTATACGATCTTGATTTGAAGCTTTCGTGACTGCAGGAATCCATACTCTTTGGTTCTTTCGGTAAAGTCACGTGGGTAGGTAGAAAATTAATAGATCACGACGTTTCGAACTGCTGACGTCAGCAGTTCTCCTGCTGTGTTTGTTTCGCCCGATGACGGTTGCTTGCGTTGCGATGGAAACGTCACGATAAATTAATTTACTCCGTATACGGATTCGCAAACTCTGGTTGCTGCTCGCGCTGTTCAATGCATGCACTGTATCTTGCGCTAAGTAATTTATATGAATCGATGGATTGTTAAATCGTTAACACCGCAACTCAATGAATTCGGAAGAAAAAAACGGTCGATTCTCGAATCAAATCTCAAGCCCCCCCGAATCACGACTCGTTAGGACACCAAGTAGCGACTAGAGAAGAGCTGCTGCGACACTTGGTTTGTCTTCCTTGAAGCTCTGAACATTGGGCTGCGTTTGCAGCGCGCTGCCCGTTTCCCTGCCACGCGCTGCAAGGGCACCAACAATGGTGAAGTTGCAGGGTGTGGCAGGGAGATGCAGCGGGAGGAGCTCAACTTTCTGCGGAGAGGAGCAAGAGGCATTAGAGCAGCATCAGGAGGAAATGCGCTTATGCACACGAATGCAGCCCCGGTGTTCGGAGGTGCCGAGTCGACGGCAGCGGCCGTCCAACTCCCAGGACGAAAAGCAGACCGAACGCTGAAAGGAGGGTGATGATGGCATTGCGACGGGAAGAAGCGAGCAGTTTTTGGGGGCAGAGAAGACTTTCAAAACTACCCAGTAAACATGGAACTTTGGGCCAATGGTCCCAACCACGTGGCACTGTTGGCCCAAACGTTGGATGTTTAATGGGTTAGCCAACTTAACGGCAACACCGTGCCCTTAGCCCGAACCAACTAGCGAATCAAAAGTTATAGGGAGCTGTACTCGTAACAAATTGGCATATTATGCTTACGTGTCAAACCTTACAAATTGGCTTTGTTGGGTGGTGGCGGGTTTAACGACACATTTATATTTACGTGATCTAACCCAAGAAACCTCTATTATGGACAAGTTATAGACCCTGGAGGGATGATTGGCTGAGTCAACTAACCCACAACCAGGGTTTTAACTCGCAACTTTCTGCTTGCGAGCAGTTCACTTAACCGCCGAGCCAGATGCTCAGTAGCCAATCAAATACTTCATAAACAACCAGGCAATCCGATGATATCCCTATTATGAACCTAATCAACTAGCCAATTAGCCACAAGTACTAGCTCTTTCATGACAGCGAACCAACTAGCCACACACCCTAACGAGCTAACCATAACCAGTAATCGTACTAGCTCTCCCATAGAATTTAACTCTTAACTAGGCAATCAAATTCTAGCACTGACCGACTCGCAAATGATGCAATTGTACTCGGCTTTTTGCTACCCCGTGCCCCACCTACAATAATGTTTCACCAGGGGTGCATTCAATGAGCAGAGCGCTCCAGAGCGCATTTCTATTCAACGACCTGTTCACCCCGAGCTCATTGTAACTCACAGGAGCTGCTTTGAGAGGAGCTGCCTCGTCGACGTGTCAAGATCCGGCCAATGGGAGGCACACCATACGTTGTTCGACGCAATATGCTACAGGCATCCTAAGGCATACCGTTCTATAAGAGCTAAATTCAATCTCGTATCGCCACGGCAGGCCGCTCTGGCTCATTGAATGCACCGAAGTGCAAGCCTTTGACATTGATTTTTTTTAGTGTTCGCAGATCTGCGCTCCCATTTCCGTCGCCTGTGTCAAAAAAAAACACGTGACATTGTTCAGCGACGTCATTGGGCGGTTGCATAATGTCGCCCATTATGACGTCATCGACCAACGTGTCCCCGGTGCGGTTTCCCGTCCATGACGTCGCTAAGCTCTTATCTTGAATTACGCTCCCGGTAACTGTTGCAATTCATCGATTTAAACATTAAAATCGATTCTCACCGCTCGCCGAGCGTGCATCGAATGATGTTTGCGTGTAAACGAGTTATTATTAACAGTTGCGCACATTTTCATTGAGGTTAACAGTTGTAACCACGGTGACGTTGCAAGCCTTAACGCTGAAGAACCTAAAACGGTGGCGCCGCGAAGAGATTGTTTCTAAAGTGATGCGGTTGACGTCATTCTTGCCGTTGATTGTGACGTCAACCACATGTCGCAGGTGACGTAATGACCCCAGCGATGTCACGATGGAGCAGTGCTGCCACGTGACCAATTTTACAATGTCGACGCAAAAAAAACACTCATTCGTCAATAACGCAACCCTATATATCAAATTTTACGATGTTTCGGCCAATGGCCCTTTCATCAGTTGGCAAAGATAAGAGGTGATCTCTGCTTTAGTGTAAAGCTTGATCCAAACCTGCGCGATCAGTTGAGGCAATTACATCCTTGTGGAAGCCGCGCAACTTAATCATCGCCCGCTGCTGCATTGTCCACATCTGAGCGGTTAGTTGCTTTAGTCAGGATCAACCTATCAAAGTTGGCAAATGTGCACGCGGTGGAATGCGTAACTGAGACGTCACCGAGCAGATCGCTGCCGGAAAGTAGTCTTGTCATATCCTGCAAGCAACCAGTTGCACATCCGCTTGCAACTGGTTGCAGAGGCCACGGTTGATTCAGTTGCATGCAACCACGTTTACGCAGTTGATTGCTCAAATGTGGACAAATCTCTGAGCAGATCGTTGCTTGAAGGTAAGCCTTTTTTCTTGCAAGCGACCAGTTGCACAACCCATTGCAGAGACCACAAGTGACTCGGTTGCATGCAACCAAGTCGGGCAACATCACTCGGAAGTTCACCGGGGTTTACGTGATGGGCCAGCGTTATTGACGAATGCGTTGTTTTTTTGTTGTTGTTAGCAGCAGCAGCAACAGCGTCGCAAACATTTTAATTTTGTTCAAACTTTTTTTTTTTACGTGGGATTGCTTTTGCGTTTTAACTTCGATAAAATTAAGGTTGTTTTATTTCCCGCATTCATATTATCACCCCGCCATGTACTGCACCTTTATAATAGTAATATTGCTGTATGTTATTGTATGTATGATATTATATATAAGTATATTTAAATATACAACTGACGCGTTACGCCACCGGCCTCCACTAAAAACACACAGGGCCGACAAAAACTTAACAAACAAACAAATCCCATGACCGATTCGTGTGAGCGTTTTTGCCAAATGGTTTCATTATACATAATAATAAAAAGAACAGAAAAGTTACATGTTGACGTGGCTTCAACTGTGTTTGCACCGATCTTTTTATTGTCAAGTTCGCCGCGATTGTAACTGTGTGCGGGTGATAATGCCATCAGAATCAGAAGTTTGTCCCGTCGAGTGCAGCCCGTTCGGCGAAGAAGGCTCTTTTGCAAGGGGGACTCGGCCGGCAAACAACGTCAAAGCATTCCATAATTACAGATTTAAAAAAAAAATACACACTTAGTTCAACGTGCATTGAGAGTATTTGGCTACTATAAATTTCCACCTGACGGCAAGCCACTTTGTTGAGCTATCATTTGTGATAGCCAGATCGCTTCTGGAAAAGAGCCATGTATAGCTCAGTGGGGCCTTACCTGGTAAAATAAAAATTAAATAACGGGTTGTTATAGGCGGCTGTAGGGTTTTAGTTAAACTATAAAACTACAGTATTTTTTTTATTTCTTTTAATTGGTAAGGCCCACTGAGCTATATTGCGGTTCTTAAGAAGCAACCTGGCCACATGACAGCGAAGTGGCTTGATCGTGTGTGTAAATCCATAGCAGCCAAATCTATATAAAAAAGTGAAATTTGTGAATGTGTCTGTTCGAAATGTTTAGCATACTTCCCAACATACAACAAATTTGAAATTTAGCATGTGGGTAGCTTCCAGACTGTATACAATGTAGAAAGTATGAAAATAGACTTTATTTTTTTGGGGTGGGGGTGCAAAAATGGATATATTTTGCACGGCAAGTGTGCGGTGACGTCACATGTGTGATGTCACCCGCATGCGGCAGCGTCACGCAGTGTGCCTACTGACGTCACGCAGTGTGCCCTACTGACGTCACGCAGTGTGCCCTACCGATGTCACGCAGTGTGCCCTACTGACGTCACGCAGTGTGCCCTACTGACGTCACGCAGTGTGCCTATGACCCCCTCCCCACCCTCCGCGTAGGCTGTGTATTAATCCAAGACAAGAATCCAAGTCTCGGGCGAAGCCGGGTAGTAAGCTAGTAAATAAATAAACGCGTGGATGTTGATTCTAAATGTGGGAGGCAAAAAAATCCACGCGACCACGAGGAGAGTGAGAGAGAGAGAGACGCAAACTCTAAATGTACAGCAGCAGGCGTCAGGGGCTCGGGATCGAACCCACGACGATCCCCCTTGCATAATGTATCAAAATGTATTATTGTTTTATTTGTATTTTATTATTATTTCCCTTCTTCGTGACTTTTACCGAAAGAACCAAGAATATAAAAATGTATCACTGTTTAAGATGCGAGTTCCTCTCGCCCCTTTTGGCTAAGGGGCCGTCCATAAATGACGTCACGCGCCTAGGGGGGGGGGGGGCGGGGTCAGACATTTGTGACGATGTGTGACGAGGGAGGGGGCTTGAGAAATGTGACGTCACATCAAATGCGCAACTTTAAATAAATATAGTCAACACTACTTAATTAAATAGACTTTTTAATAAAAGTTTTCTCCTACGACATCAGAGTGCAGCGGCACATTAAATACGCGCTACAATGACAATAGTTTAAAGCGATTTGAAGCATGTTTTTTTTGGGGGGGGGAGGGGGGGCAGTGCTTTGTGACGTCACATTTGAGGGGGGGGGGGTCTGACTTTTTGTGACGCCGTGTGACGAGGTCAAAAATCGTCAAAAATCGCGTGACGTCGTTTGGGCTCCACCACTGGACATCATCACTTCGAGCCGGCGTTCCAAGTGAACATCTGAATGTTTGGACCAACGTTGAATTCATACTCTTTGGTTCTATTGGGTAAAGTCACGTAGGTAAAAAATAAAATAACAAAAATCACGAAGTTTCGGCCACAACACAAGCGGCCTTCATCAGGTGAAGGGACGAGACTGTCTGGAGGACAGCGCTGGAGTGAAAAAAAAGCCACGCTCAGATCACGACCTTTAAGCTGTGTGAGAAGAAACAAAGCGCCTTGACAAAGGAATTAGCGTAGAATTTAGCATTGAAATGGCTGAGTGATTAGCTTGTGACTGGTCACAGAAATGGCTATGTTAAAGTTAAAGCATACACATCCGCAAAAGCTTGTTATTTTATTTTTTTACCTACGTGACTTTACCCAATAGAACCAAAGAGTATGGATCCTTGCAGTCACGAAAGCTTTAAATCTAGAATTCAACGTTGAATTGTCTTTAACTTGAGCATGTTCTGTCTGACCCGTGTGTTCTCCTCCTGTGTGCTTCGTACGGTGCGAAAGAAGTTCAACATACACCTATTCTTTTCCATCACGCACCTTTCTCCGCGTTTCTTTGCGGGCTGTTCAGGGTTTGTTCCGTTCCATGTGTGTAGTGGTCGACTTCACGTGGACAACTTTATAGTTTTCTCCGACGCAACTTTTATTACAACTCTTCACATCACGTCTGTGACTCTTTACATCACGTCTGTGACTCTTCACATCACGTCTGTGACTCTTCACGTCACGTCTGTGACTCTTCACATCACGTCTGTGTCTCTTCACGTCACGTCTGTGACTCTTCACATCACGTCTGTGACTCTTCACATCACGTCTGTGACTCTTCACATCACGTCTATGACTCTTCACATCACGTCTGTGACTCTTCACATCACGTCTGTGACTCTTCACATCACGTCTGTGACTCTTCACGTCACGTCTGTGACTCTTCACGTCACGTCTGTGACTCTTCACATCACGTCTGTGACTCTTCACGTCACGTCTGTGACTCTTCACATCACGTCTGTGACTCTTCACATCACGTCTGTGACTCTTCACGTCACGTCTGTGACTCTTCACATCACGTCTGTGACTCTTCACATCACGTCTGTGACTCTTCACATCACGTCTGTGACTCTTCATGTCACGTCTGTGACTCTTCATGTCACGTCTGTGACTCTTCACGTCACGTCTGTGACTCTTCACGTCACGTCTGTGACTCTTCACGTCACGTCTGTGACTCTTCACATTCACGTCTGTGACTCTTCACGTCACGTCTGTGAGTCTTTACGTCACGTCTGTGACTCTTCACGTCACGTCTGTGACTCTTCACATCACGTCTGTGACTCTTCACGTCACGTCTGTGACTCTTCACATCACGTCTGTGACTCTTCACATCACGTCTGTGACTCTTCACGTTACGTCTGACTCTTCACATCACGTCTGTGACTCTTCACATCACGTCTGTGACTCTTCACATCACGTCTGTGTCTCTTCACGTCACGTCTGTGACTCTTCACATCACGTCTGTGACTCTTCACGTCACGTCTGTGACTCTTCACATTCACGTCTGTGACTCTTCACGTCACGTCTGTGAGTCTTTACGTCACGTCTGTGACTCTTCACGTCACGTCTGTGACTCTTCACATCACGTCTGTGACTCTTCACGTCACGTCTGTGACTCTTCACGTCACGTCTGTGACTCTTCACACTACGTCTGTGACTCTTCACATCACGTCTGTGACTCTTCACATCACGTCTGTGACTCTTCACGTCACGTCTGTGACTCTTCACGTCACGTCTGTGACTCTTCACATCACGTCTGTGACTCTTCACATCACGTCTGTGACTCTTCACATCACGTCTGTGACTCTTCACATCACGTCTGTGACTCTTCACGTCACGTCTGTGACTCTTCACGTGACGTCTGTGACTCTTCACGTCACGTCTGTGACTCTTCACGTCACGTCTGTGACTCTTCACATCACGTCTGTGACTCTTCACATCACGTCTGTGACTCTTCACGTCACGTCTGTGACTCTTCACGTGACGTCTGTGACTCTTCACATCACGTCTGTGACTCTTCACATCACGTCTGTGACTCTTCACACTACGTCTGTGACTCTTCACACCACGTCTGTGACTCTTCACATCACGTCTGTGACTCTTCACGTCACGTCTGTGACTCTTCACACTACGTCTGTGACTCTTCACACCACGTCTGTGACTCTTCACATCACGTCTGTGACTCTTCACATCACGTCTGTGACTCTTCACATCACGTCTGTGACTCTTCACATCACGTCTGTGACTCTTCACATCACGTCTGTGACTCTTCACGTCACGTCTGTGACTCTTCACATCACGTCTGTGACTCTTCACATCACGTCTGTGACTCTTCACATCACGTCTGTGACTCTTCACATCACGTCTGTGACTCTTCACATCACGTCTGTGACTCTTCACATCACGTCTGTGACTCTTCACGTCACGTCTGTGACTCTTCACATCACGTCTGTGACTCTTCACATCACGTCTGTGACTCTTCACATCACGTCTGTGACTCTTCACATCACGTCTGTGACTCTTCACGTCACGTCTGTGACTCTTCACATCACGTCTGTGACTCTTCACATCACGTCTGTGACTCTTCACATCACGTCTGTGACTCTTCACATCACGTCTGTGACTCTTCACATCACGTCTGTGACTCTTCACATCACGTCTGTGACTCTTCACATCACGTCTGTGACTCTTCACATCACGTCTGTGACTCTTCACATCACGTCTGTGACTCTTCACATCACGTCTGTGACTCTTCACATCACGTCTGTGACTCTTCACATCACGTCTGTGACTCTTCACATCACGTCTGTGACTCTTCACATCACGTCTGTGACTCTTCACAGTCACGTCTGTGACTCTTCACATCACGTCTGTGACTCTTCACATCACGTCTGTGACTCTTCACATCACGTCTGTGACTCTTCACATCACGTCTGTGACTCTTCACATCACGTCTGTGACTCTTCACGTCACGTCTGTGACTCTTCACATCACGTCTGTGACTCTTCACATCACGTCTGTGACTCTTCACATCACGTCTGTGACTCTTCACATCACGTCTGTGACTCTTCACATCACGTCTGTGACTCTTCACATCACGTCTGTGACTCTTCACATCACGTCTGTGACTCTTCACATCACGTCTGTGACTCTTCACATCACGTCTGTGACTCTTCACATCACGTCTGTGACTCTTCACATCACGTCTGTGACTCTTCACATCACGTCTGTGACTCTTCACATCACGTCTGTGACTCTTCACG